GTGTGTGTGTGTGTGTGTGTGTGTGAGAGAGAGGGTGTGTGAGTGTGAGAGAGAGAGAGAGAGTGTGTGTGTGTGTGTGTGTGTGTGTGAGCATCATCTCTGTGGCAACAACATGTTTTTATGCACAGATGCCCAGCGTTCACTGCTACTGAAGCACATGTGAACCAACAGGAATTCAGCTGCAAATATAATCAACATAAAAATAAACAGAGCAGCATTGAGGAATAGCTCTGATGCTGCTCTTTCATCGTTCCAGTCTCACAGAGTCCGTCATCTATTTGTGGGGGGTTTCTGATGTTTTATAAGTAGATTCTTTATTGAATATGTTGCAAATGATTTAGAAGTGTAATCTCATATTATCTGATGGTGGATAAACACACACACACACACACACACAGCTGATGGAGAATTATCTGATGAAAAGGTCCTAAAGCCTTTATGTAATTCAGGTAATGAAGTTTGTGTGCCTGCATGTGTGTGTGTGTGTGTGTGTGGGAGAGAGTCTGTGTGTGTGAGTGAGTGTGCGAGAGAGAGTGTGTGAGTCAGTGTGTGTGTGTGAGAGAGAGAGAGTGTGTGTGTGTGTGTGTGTGAGAGAGAGCGAGAGAGTGTGTGTGTGTGTGTGAGAGAGAGAGCGAGAGAGTGTGTGTGTGTGAGAGAGAGAGAGAGTGTGTGTGTGTGTGTGTGTGATTGTGAGTGTGTGTGAGAGAGAGCGAGTGTGTGTGAGAGTGAATGTATGTGAGAGCGAGAGAGTGTGTGTGTGTGTGTGAGAGAGAGAGCGAGAGAGAGTGTGTGTGTGTGTGTGAGTGTGTGTGTGCGTGTGTGAGTGTGTGAGAGTGAGTGAGTGTGTGTGTGTGTGTCTGTGTGTGTGTGTGTGAGTGAGAGTGAATGTGTGAGTGAGTGTGTGTGTCTGTGTGTGTGAGAGAGTGAATGTGTGAGTGAGTGTGTGTGTCTGTGTGTGTGAGTGTGTGTGTGTGTGTGAGAGGGAATGTGTGAGGGAGTGAGTGTGTGTGTCTGTGTGTGTGAGTGTGTGTGTGTGTGAGAGAGAGTGAATGTGTGAGTGGGTGTGTGTGTCTGTGAGTGTGTGTGTGTGTGTGAGAGAGAGAGAGTGTGTGAGTGAGTGAGTGTGTGTGTGTGTGTGTGTGAGTGTGTGTGAGAGAGAGTGAGTGTGTGAGTGAGTGTGTGTGTGTGTGTGTGTCTGTGTGTGTGTGTGTGAGTGAGAGTGAATGTGTGAGAGAGTGTGTGTGTCTGTGTGTGTGAGAGAGTGAATGTGTGAGTGAGTGAGTGTGTGTGTCTGTGTGTGTGTGTGTGTGTGAGAGAGAGAGCGAGAGAGTGTGTGTGAGAGAGAGAGAGTGTAGCGGTGGTGAAGGGCTGCATGTATGACGCTGAGGAAGATCCACCATCATCCGCCCGTTTGGCCGCGCTGGGAATTCTGAGTTTTCCCGGGAATGTCGCAGGCGTTCGCTGACGGTAAGCCGTTGTTATTGAGCTGTAGGGAAGGGCGCGTGCGTGCGTGTGTGTGCGTGTGTGTGTGTGTGTGAGGAGAATCAAAGTGAACGGGCTCTTAGCTCTCGGGCTAACATTAGCTGGCCACCGCCGCTGTCCCGGATCTGCGCGCGCGGTTCTCCAGCATCGCTCGTCATGTGAACGGTAAGGATGCGTGTGTGCGCGGCTAACGCTCAGGTGCTCGGTGAGAGGTCGGTGCAAATGCAGCGCTGCTTCCGTGTGTGAGCGAATGTTTTTCCTCAGTCCAGCTCCACTCTGCCGCTAATACTGAAAATTACGTAATGCATACTGAATGAGTCTGAGATCTGAAGCATGCAGGGCCTGTGGTGTGTGCATGTGTGCATGTGTGCAGGGTTATATCTGTATGCGTGTGTGTAGAGTGTGTGTAGAGTCCGTCTTATTCAGTGTGAACGGTGTCAGAAATACACTTCTGTTATCAGGGACGTTTGTCCCTTGAAAGAATCTTCAGAGGCATGTCCACCTGCATCATGAAAACATGCAGTGTGTCTGTAACACTGCACAAGATTTCATAACCGCAGATATTCAGATTTCACATTCAATACCTGGCACATTCTGACCCTGCGTGTAGTCAACATATGTGTGTTTTTGGTGATCTATCATGTTTCCTTCTTAAATGACCTTAAAAAAAGATACATTAGATATCTGTTGTTGTTTTTGAATATGTGTTGGTTTCCAAATATACCTATATTCAAAACGCAACATCTGAAAGAGGTTTTCATTTCTTAATATTTTACAACGTAACTTTTGTGCCTTGAATCAGATTTACAACCACATTTTGGCATTTATATTTACTGCCTTGATATAAAATTTGACCAATAATGTCAAAACGAAGAGTAAAAGCAGAACTGCGGGCACTGAAATCAAGTGATCAGCCTGACAGGAGTCTGGAGATCTGTGAAGCTTTCATGTGTGTCCTGTTTAAAGTGACAGGCTCTGATCACGGGTGTGTGTTCATCATGTAAAGCTGTCGGAGCCTCTGTGCAGGTGAATGGGTGTTTACTCAGTCATAAACACTGTGCTGCGCGAGGAAGGTTAAGGTTTTGCAGTGCATCTTCAGATCGTTGGCTGGTGAATGTGAAATCGAACAGGTGCTGTGAATGTGTTTGAGGCTGGTCAGGTTCACAGGTGCTTGTTCAAACAGCTTTAAGGGACTTCAGAAATGCTCTGAACTCGGTGTAACGGCGCAGTGTCATGTTTTGCTGTTTTGTGTGGCTTGAATCACTGATGGTTCATCGAGACACTGTTAGCTCTCTCCTGAAATGACAGGTTGGTTTGTGTTGGTGTTCATCATGTCATCTCATGGAGGTCTATGCTTTATCGTGTTTCAGTGCTCAGTCTTTGTCTACAGCAGCGTTCAGAAGCACACCCGCCGTCTCAGATGTCTGATTTTACTACAATTTTCCTATCAGCCGTCATGTCCGTTATCAGCCGGAGCGAAAGTAGTTATCCGCTTTCAGTGTGAGCCGCAGATATTTGCATCCCTGAGTTTGATCAGAAGCTCCTCTTCCACAGGTGTGTCACACGACTTTCAGACAGAAGGGTTTTTCCTGCGTTGTGTTGTGGTGTTCGTGCGCTCGTGCGTCCGTCTGTGTGCTGTTGGGAAGATGCACTATTATGTTTTAATGAGTCGCAGGCTTCTGGCTGTTATTGTGCACGTGTGTTTTCTTCGGGTCGACTGACTGCTGGTGCTCTATCTTCACACATTCAGTGTGTTTTGGCTTCATTCGTCTCTCTCTGTGTTTCTTCGCAGGATCCGAGATGTCGCTCGCCCCTTAAATCACTTTCTGCACCACCGGTGAGTTTGTGCTTGATTCCTCTTTCTTCAGCATGTCTCGCACTCCGACGCTTTATTAACTTTGAGTTTCATTTAAACAGTGTTGTTTTAGGATCTTCGATCAGCTTTCAGGCTGGTTTAGGTCAAAGCTGAAGCATTAGTTCACAGCCTGACCACAGTTTTACTGCTAACCAATCGCACTTAAACCTGCTGTGTTAGTGGCACAAAGGTCATCAGTTTATCTAACTTTCATTAACTTAGCAATGTTCTCAAACTATCGCTCTGTCCTGAGCTGAAGGAGAAGTTTACACTAACGCTTCTGCCTACAGTGTCTTGCCATAATCTTCATTCTCATACTTGTGCACTAGGATACTTGTATCTAGCATGATATTTCCTGATTTTAATTATTTTGATGAGCCGATACTGATACCTCAATCCCAATCTCAGATTTTAATCTGTGCTGTTTTCAGTCGATGCGTGAACAAAACTTCACTAAACTTTATCTGTAGCTCCTGCCATCCAATAATCACAATCCTCGTTGTGCTTGGTTAGTTATGAAACAAAGTCTCAGCTTTTAAATTCTGACCGTTTTATCACAAAATACAGTCACTGAATGTGGCTTTGCTGCTCTTTAATGTGTGCTGACACGAGTGTTAATTTTGTCAGCCATTTTTTATTTAGTTTTAGTTTTAGTTCTGCGGCAGATGTAAGTTTTAGTTATCATATTTAGTCAAGCTCGTCCTGCTTGTGTTTAGTCAAGTTTTAGTCGACTAAATGTCTGAGCATTAGTTAGTGAAGACTTTATCACATTTTCATTATGCTGTATAATAGTTAAACTGATAAAAATTATGTTTACTTAATTATAATCTGTAAGATTGTTGTCATTTGAGAAATGTATTATATTATATTGCACTTTCACCAATAAGCACAAATCAACAGAATATGGACTCATCTAGTGTACTGATTTATTACAGGCTATATTTAATATATAAATTAATATCAAAGACTTAGATATGCACTCTCTCTGCCTACATTATGAAAACTGGCAAAAACAAGCAATTTGGACATGGTTGCCAGATTGCAAAAAAATAAACAAAACACGGGGCAGAAAATTTATGATTTTAACAGAGAAGCTCTGATTGGGGGATTTGAACTCTTGATATCTGGCAACCGCACACATGAACACTCGTGTAGAAGCGCATACAACAGTCCAATAATATTTTGTCAACGAAAATGGAAATACATTTTGGTATAGTTTTTATTTTTTTCAATGCATTTTAGTCTCGTCTTTTATCATCAACGATATTTCATGTTGATCTAGTCACAGTTATCGTTTATTGACCTTATTGTCGTCTCGTCATCGTCTCGTATTAGTCATGGGAAAAAAGCTGGTCAATGAATATTTTTCGTCACAGTTTTCGTTAACGACATGAACACTAGCACAGATGGCTGCGGTGGAGCGAGCATCTCTTTACTACTAGTTCCAGCAGAAAATCAAATCAGCATGAAGCAGAACAACTCACTGAAATCAATCATGAATCCATCAATCACTGATTCAACCGCCATAAACCAGCTAGAGATCAATAATGTCACATTTACCTCCGGAAAGACATTCAGTGACCATAAACCTAAAAATAACTCGAGAGAGGAGCGTTTTAATAAAAAATGCACTATATTACATATTCATGATATTTTTACTGAACCTGTTGTCTTTGTTATTTATGAATAAATCTGTCATGAAAAAACATTTTTATTGCAGCCACCATTTAAATGTTTATATTTCAACAGCCAATTGGAGTAGAAGCAATTATATGTTTCAAAGTTTGATAACTGTGTTCAATTTAAACATATGTGACCCTGGAGCACAAAACCAGTCATAAATGTCAATTTAGTGAAATTGAGATTTATACATCATCTGCAAGCTGAATAAATAAGCTTTCCATTGATGTAAGGTTTGTTAGGATAGGACAATATTTGAAAATCTGGAATCTGAGGGTGCAAAAAAATCTAAATATTGAGAAAATCATCTTTAAAGTTGTTCAAATGAAGTTCTTAGCAATGCATATTACTAATCAAACATTAAGTTTTGATATATTTACGGTAGGACATTTACAAAATATCTTCATGGAACACGATCTTTACTTAATATCCTAATGATTTTTGGCATAAAAGAGAAATGTATAATTGTGACCCATACAATGTATTGTTGGCTATTGCTACAAATATCCCCCAGCGACTTAACACTGCTTCTGTGCTGCAGGGACACAGATGGACATTTGATTTGAGTGTTGATTATTATATATGAAGCTGAGTGTAATAGTTTGTTAATTTCAAACTTTAATACAATGGTATTGTATGAACTGACCGAGTTCTCTGTATAGTTCAGCACTTTAGTTGAGATTTAGTTTTGAGATTGAGTTTTCCTTAAATGCTTCCAAGTGAATGGATATTGAGAGCTTGAGAATCGGACTCGGATCTTGACATCTGTGTTATGTCTGGATCTTGAGTGTGTTTCAGTCATTGTTACTATTAATGACTGGACGGAGTGAATTAGTGCGTCCTGAAGCGATTACTGCGCCCCCCCGCCGGCCCGAGATCTCCCAGCATGCCGTGTTCCTGCAAGCGTCTCTGTAGAACAGCCAGCTGAAGCTTCAGGGTTCCTGGACGACGAGCTTCGGCTAAAAATAGCGGCGAACAGAGCGAAGCCGGAGCTATTACTGCTCTTTCTAATTGCTGCCCCCTGTGAAACACGTTCAGTCACGGCACTGCTGGGAGCACTTCCAATTAACCCGTCGACCTTTGTGCTAGAGCTCAGAACGTGACTTCTGAAGGCTTGTTAATTCACTAGTATGTAATCATCTGTTCCATGGGTCATGTGACTGCGTCAGGTGACCAAGGGTCAATCACCTTCATTTCTATAGCGCTTTATACAGTACAGGTTTTACAGCAGCTTTACACTTATAGACAAGAAAATAGTAATTCAGTGATGCAAACAAAGAAAGAAGCTAAAAGAGATAATAGTAAACAGAATTAGGGGTCGACCAATTATCGGCGCCGATATTAAGCATTTTTATGATTATCGGTATCGGTCATTTTCAAAACCGATTCGCCGATAAAATAATTTTGAAACGCGCTATTTGGCTGTGATGCAGCTTGTCAGAACTCACCACTCTGCGGCCTAAAGCAGTCTCCGCCCACCGCTCGTCTGATTTGTTGGGAGTCACGAGTCCGACCAATCAAAGCGGAATTCACTCTCACTCCGAAAGCACTTGCTAACTGCAGCTGCTTCAGTGATCACGCATCAGTTGTCTCTCAAAGGTAAGGCAACAGCAGACATTGCTTAAGTTGCAATAACTCACAATCCACTAACGTTACACTGAAGTTGCAAAACACCTCAATATTATCTATGATTTCTGCGATGCGGAGAATGCGGGCTGCAGCTTCTCACTGACAACATAACGCCGCTCGCATCATTCACAGTCGGGTTATTAGCAGAGAACACAGAGCAGGACTTGAGATTCAGGCGCAGGATTGCGGCTATTAATAATACTTCTGCTCATTCCAGCAGGTTCCGCGCTTATAACACGATGACAAATGACAGATCTTATCATTTGCACGTGCTTCTGAGTCTTGAGAACTCTCATTTTCTGTGCGTAGTCACTTGCTTCATTCCTGATTGAATCAGCGTTCGAACAAATCAATTGAATGAATGATTCAGTGATAAAATTAGTGACTTGCTGCCACCTGCTGGCGGATTTAGCTTCATTTTTTAGGTATAATTGCAGTTATTTAAATCATTTAATATTTCTGTACTCAAAATTGTATTTAAAACATTAATCTCCACACAAATTTTAAAAAGCTTATAAACATAAATGTTTTAATTTGACAGATGGAAATGATGCCATTGCAAAGATAAGAAGAAAATGCCCCTGTAAATCACTTCACCTCATGTTAGGAAGGCTAATTTTTGATTATTGATCAGAAGGTGCTCCTTAATTTTTTTTTTAATTAGGAGGACAAGCGCTCTTGATTACAAGAAGAAAAGCACTGCTCTTAAACTGGGTGTGTGAGAGGTATGGCCGAGGAAAAATTCAGTCAAAAGTTGTTGTTTTTTTGCTTTAACCCCTGACTACTACAACAATTATTACAACTTTTGTTTAAAAGAATAATCACACAATACGCTATTTCTTCCATGTTTTAATTTTAATGGTAAACCCATTAAATAAAGAGTTTGCCAAAAAAATAAACAGTTTAACTCTTTAAAATAAAGAGTTAACTGTGGGAGTACTACACTCAACCAACACCAGGGAAGGCAGTTTTGTCAGAGCCCTTGTTATTCTTAATTTTGACATTAATTTTCATTTTTACACCAGACATATATATCGGTTCAAAATATTGGTTATCGATCTACTTGATCTGTAATAATCGGTATCGGCATCGGCCTTGAAAAACACATATCGGTCGACCCCTAAACAGAATTCATATCCCAGCATACTGCAGTCTGCACCTACTAGAAGCACAGCATTATGGGAAGAGTCCGAGTGGAACAGTCAAGCCAATTATATTTCAATTATGTTTCAAAGCAGCTTCACTGAAAATCATGTTGTTACTGTGTATAATATCGTAGTATCTTCATGCATTATAGTTGCATGTAGCAGATTAGAGCTGGATGAGAATATAGTTACTTTTTGCGACAATATAAACAGTGTAGCAGATTGAACTTCAGGCGTCTTTCATGTGGGGTTTTCTTTTGTCTTGTGTGGTTTAGTTGAGGTTCAGCCTGTCTGTGCTTCATCTGTCTGATCTGATCAGATTCCTCAGAATGTGCTGAAATACTGTAGAGTTTGATGGGACACACGGCCGTTTCCCATGATGCCGTGCGACCGTGATTGTGATGGTTCAGATGATTCAGCTCCTGATTGTTCTCGGAGAGTGACTCGACGCTGCGGTTCCTTCAGGAGCTCAGTGAAGCTCTCAGTGGCTGGATCTTCATTGATTATTCAGGAGCTGATCTAGAATCTGCTGTCGTGGATCTCATGCTCGTTCCTCTGGCTGGTGTTTCTTAATCGGACGCTGGTGTGTTGAAGGTGTGTGTGTGTGTGTGTGTGTGTTCCCGCTGTGGCTGTGAACAGATTGATGTTCCCCCGCCGCTGTGGGATTATCGGCTGCTTTAATCAAGAGAATATTTGTCGCCTCGTCTGATGTTACCTGAAATAATGCCGCTTAAAATCTAAAAATAAACCGCACTCATTACGTGGATTTGCCAGACTGAACGAACAGAACAGAGGGCTTTCTCAGGAGATATAACCGGATCATTTGTGTTTTATAACGCTTTATTTTAATCTTCCACAGACTGATAATACAGAGGAGATTGGCTTCCGCTTCAGAACATTTACTGTAAATCTCGCACTTTAACCAGTCGTACGTTACAATATATTTTTAGTTAGTTTTATGTTGGGGGTTCACGATGCTAGCCATAATTTAGTTTTATATTTTCTCTCTGACTGTTTTTATGAAAAGTTTTTTTCAGCTTTATGATGTATTTCACATGATGTGGGCGAGTCACATGTTAATGAGCTTTGTTATGATTGGTGTATTTCACACGCTGTGGGCGGGTCATATGTTAATGAGCTCTGTTATGATCGGTTTCATTTACACAGTGTGGGCGGGTCATATGTTAATAAGCTCTGTTATGATCGGTGTAGTTTACACTGTGTGGGCGGGTCATATGTTAATGAGCTCTGTTAGATCAGCTCTGTTATGATCGGTGTCGTTCAGATGGTGTGGGCGGGTCATATGTTAATGAGCTGTCATGATCGGTGTGGGAGGGTCATATGTTAATGAGCTCTGTCATGATCGGTCTCGTTCAGATGGTGTGGGCGGTTCATATGTTAATGAGCTCTGTTATGATCGGTGTCGTTCAGATGGTGTGGGAGGGTCATATGTTAATGAGCTCTGTCATGAT